TTTTTTTTCCATTTAAATTTTAAGTTTTAATTATTACATTGTGTTCTTTGGATTTTTTTGTTAATACAGGTTTTTTGATATACATAAAACTGTATCCTCCGGTTTCATAGACGAGGCTTAAGCCTAGTCCCAGACTAAAATGCATGTCTGGGCTGTTTTAACTGAAGGAAACTTGCACCGACTGATCTTAAAATGTCAGATTCATTGTTTTGTCTCAAGATGCACACCAGTAATTTTTTTTTATCTAAGGCATATTTCTAAAAACTACTTAAATGTAAACTAAATTTTAAATGTTTAAAAGTTTAAATGTTAAATGTAAACTACATTAACTATGGCCTAATCCTGGCTTAACCTAAGCCCTGTCTGTGAAACCGGGCCTATCTGTGTTATTTTAGTATTTTTTTTATGTATAGTATTAATATTTCGAATTGGCTTTTTAAAATATTTTCAAATTGATACTTTTCATTTTAATTTTAGTAATCGCATTGTCATATGTGCTGTTTGGTTTGTTTATCAGTGTTATTATAGTATTAATTAATATTTTTGTATAATTATAGTATATTTTTATGTTTGTTTTATTTGTTTTTCTAATTTTACTGCTTCAGCGTAAACATTTAATTTTTTTACTTAAGTTGAGTAAAAAATTTTCATCTAATATATATATTTTCCTTATTACAGCGACTTTTGTAAGTCGCTTGGGATAAAAGCATCCGCTAAATGCATAAAAGCACATTTTGTTTTCCACAGATAACTTACAGTTTGTTAACAATAACAACACTGTCCTGTTTTTGCCATTGTTTTAGTCCGATCCTCTGGGCTTGAACGCGGCTCCAGCCTCTGGCGAGGCAGTGAGTGACACCGGTCTGGGCAACGGTCAGCGTAAAAGACATCCATCGGAGGACGCTCAAGCAGGCCCTAACAGTTTCAAGAGGCCAAAGGTCTGTTTTCTTCCTAATAACTTATTTTTTTATTTATTTAACCTTTATTTAACTCGGCAAGTCAATTAAGAACAGGTTCTTATTTTCAATAACAGCCTGACAGGAGAATGAATATCTCCTGAGAAACATAGGGCTGCACAATTAATTGAATTTCTAATCGCGATCACAATTATGGATGCCACAATTACGTAATCGTTCCAAGCGGCAATTAATCGTTCAAAGTCCACTTATGTTATTCTGCACGCTTAAGATATGGTTTTTTCTTTCTACACGTTATCTTAAGGGTTTTTCCATTGTTTTAGTATAACATTATAATACCATTCATTATTTTTTTTATAATTTAAAGAAGAAACCAATCCGATGTATATTTGACATTTGAGGCTTAATTCTATAGAAAAGCACTAAAGGTTTTTCAGTTAGTGTTTTCAGCTTGTTTATTTTCATATAAAAATACGGCATGCAGTTGCATCAAACAATGGTATAAACATCATTCAATGTAAGTTGTGATAATCTTAATTAATTATCGCAATTACAATTTCAAGGGAATAATCGACAATTATGATTTTTGTCATAATCGTGCAGCCCTAAAACATACAATACATAAAGCACATAGAAAAAGAATAAGATCTCAGTTAAAACATATTATTTGATACTTCCTAAACAATGTCTATTTATCAGCAACTCGTTTGGTCATATTTAAGTGAATAGCTTCTGTTTGATTTCAGGTTGAGATTCCAGTCACTCCAACCACTCCCACTGTCCCGATTTCTCCCAGCACGCCAGGAGTCAAACCCTGGGTCAACACCACAGATGATAAACAAGGCCAGACCAGCGTACCTGCACCGGCTCCGTACCGGCCCTCTGTGTGAGTATGGACTCCGTTTATACCTCATTTATCAGTAGTAGGGATGTAACGATTAACCGCAAGCCGGTTGAAAATCAAATATGTGACGATTCAAAACGGTTGAGATGCTAAACAAATCGCGATTCAAATAGGGGCAGGAGTTTATATGAATGTGGGGAACTTACTGTCTTAAGAAAAGTTTGAATGGTATATTTTCTTTTCATCTTGCCTCTGTATAATGCATATTAAGTGCAGCGCTGCTGTGTTTACAGCGCAAACCAGAGCATGTGAGCGGAGCGGAGTGGTAATATTTCTTTAAGAGCGCAGAGCGTCTTTCTGAAGATTCCACTCCGCTCGCTCAAAACGCTCAGCGCCGCTCGCTCAACCCAGAATGCCGTTTGGTGATTTGCTTGTTCCAGATCGAGAATCTGTAGAGATCGAGAATAGTAGAGCAGTTATGGAGTTCAGATATTGTTTCAACGAAGTTGCAAGCCTTATACATAAATGTAAAGTAAAAAATCTAAGTTAAGAATGAGCAGGGAGAAGAAACAGAGAGGGAGTGCGGGGAGAGTTAGTAAAGATTCATATTGGAATCTGAAGCGGCACATTGCCAGAAAGCACGAGGATGTGGTACGCAAACATGGTGCCGCAAAAGGTGAGCTAGTTACATACCATAATAAATGAATAAACAGGTAGGCTAAGGTTATATTCGGTTGTACGGAGCCCCTATCATGACATGCAGACAATCACGGCCAACGAATTTAGAATAGGCTAGTTCTCTTTTATGCTAGGACTACATTATGGCCACGAATTAAGTATTTGTTCTCTTTTTTAGGCTTAGCTGCCACGAATTCATTTGTTCGTTAATTTGTTCGTTCCCTAGTTTTAGTAGGCCTAAATCGTGGAACGAATTATTATATTTCGTAATTACTTATTAAAAACATTATTACTTAAAATTAATAAATAATAATAAATAAATGTAAAAAATAATAAATTATGTATAGTTTCACAAAACTGAAGTCAGACCACTCTGTTTTGCTTCAGATTTCGAAATTATACAATCTTATTTAGATTAAAAACTGCTCATGTTGAATGTTAAACTCCTACACCTAAATGAATCGCGATTTGTTTAGCATCTCAACATATTTGAATCGTCACATATTTTAATCGATTTTCAACCGGCTCGCAGTTAATAGTTACATCCCTAGTTATATTTCAATTTCACAAAGAAACGTGCAGCATTTTGTTCAAGCAATAATAAAAGGACACATTTTGTTTATAATTTGTCTTAAATCTCATTTTGTATTTAAAAAAAAAAAAAAAAGTGAGTTGTGAATCGTTACATCCCTAATCAGTAGCATTGGCTAAGAGCATCAGTAAAAAGTGATTTCCGATATCCTGACAGTGGTTCAGCTCTGTAGACATGACGTGTCTGAACTGGTCTTTGTGTTTCAGAGTCTACTGGGACCTGGACGTTCAGACCAACGCTGTGATCCGCGAGCGAGCCCCCGCGAACCACCTGCCTTCACACCCTGAGATCGAGTTGCAGAGAGCTCAACTCACCACCAAGCTGCGGCAGCACTACCACGAGCTGTGCTCTCAGCGTGAAGGTATGAGCACACCGCTGCTTTCACATATCACTGAATATGTTCCCATAAAAAAGCTTTACATTCTACATGAAAACTTGTCTGTTTTCTACTTTTATGCTGCTGAAAATGTAGTGAAGTTACTAGCTTTGTTACTTATTGTTTTATAATCCCAGTAATTCCAGTCTGGGTTAGCGTTAATGGTTTATGAGTGCAGTGCAAAGTTAATGTAAGGAAACTGGAGAAGTTAATACTTTTATTCAGTAAGCCAAAAGTGACATTTCTAATGCTAGACAAGATTCGTTTCAAATAAATGCTGTTCTTTTGAACTTTCTGTTCATCAAAGAATTCTGAGAAAATGTGTAACCGTAAATGTATTCACAAAATTATGAAGCAGCGCAACTGTTTCCAACATTGATAATAATCAGAAATGTGTCTTGAGCAGCAAAACAGCATATTAGAATGATTTCTGAAGGATCATGTGACACTGAAGACTGGAGTAATGATGCTGAAAATTCAGATTTGCATCACAGGAATAAATGACATTAAGTATATTCAAATAAAAGACAGTTATTTTAAATTGTAATATTTCACAAAATTGCTGTTTTTACTGTATTTTTAATTAAAGGGGTCATATGGTGCTGCTAAAAAGAACAGTATTTTGTGTATTTATTTATTTTCCACATACTGTACATTACTGTTTCTCCTCTATGCCCCGCCTTTCTGAAAAGCGTTGATTTTTACAAAGCTCATCGGTCTGAAAAGCGAGGTGTGCTTTGATTGGCCAGCTATCCAGTGCGTTGTGATTGGCCGAATACCTTAAGCGTGCGACGTAAATGTTACGCCCCTCACCATACTGTGATGCCCTGTCCGGCCGGAGCGACGAGACATAAACATGAAAACCCATTATAAACGAGGCATTTGTTGCATCCAGTGGGGACATAATTATGGATTATAATGACTTGTACTGTCTGTTACGCGTTGCGTTGCATCACGCCGTGTAAACATAAAACCATGTCTGCATTTGTGATCGGAGAAATGACAAACAACAAGCACTACTCTACACTGCCCAAAAATTATTAAATATTAAATATATAAAATATAAAAAAGTTTGAAGTGCTCTGGAACAGTGTTGTAAATACAACTTAACCACTGATTTCTAGTCGTGTCCTCTTTTGGAAGGCCAAATAAAGTAGTTTTGCTTTCACAGCGAAACAGCGTCACACACTGCGGCCTACAGTGAGCAGAGGCCGGGGGCTAGCGTGAAGAACGGCCGGAGGGTTAGAGTGAGCAGAGGCGCAGGCTTTAGAACGGCGCGGCCGGCGATTTCGACGAAGGAGCGTCCGGAAGGACATGTGACTACTCCGGGCTGGACTCCGCTTCGTCCACGGTGAAAGCCGATCCGGCGATCCACAGCGTGAAGTTGATGTATTTCCTCAGCGACCAGCACGGATCAGCTCTAGGCATGACGAAGCAGATATCGTCCTCTTTTGGAAGACCAAACAAAGTAGTTTTGCTTTTACAACAAAGAAGCACACAGCGTCTTTACGACATTGCAGCGGAAAAGACTACAGCGAGAATAAAAGTTACGCCGCCTTTCTTTGCGTGAACATTTGGGCGGCGTTATGCAAATCTTCCCACATAGTGATGTAGGTATGTGGGGGCGTGTTAGAACGAGCCGTTTTAGGTAGGCGTGGTTAACTCTTAACTTTTATAAAGAATATCTCTTTGGATTTGAGACTTTAGTCTTTGCAGCTTTACAGATCTTCTTTATGCACCAAGAGCTTGTAACACTCCAAAGAGAAAGGAAAAATTGAAGTCACATCATATGACCCCTTTAAATAAATTAGGGATGCACCGAATGTTCGGTAACCAAAATTATTTGGCCGAAAATAGCAAAAAAAGCTCTTTTGGTGTTCGAATAAGTGAAAAAGACCGAATGAACTGTACCGAACAATGACGTGACGCGATCAAATAGCAACCAGCGTAGAGTGAGAGGCGCAATGCAACAAACATGTCAGCAGTGTGGAAGCATTTAAAACTGTCAGAGAAAGACGCAAAAATCATTACAAGCACCGACAGCGAGATACTGTTTAGTACTGCATCGCATGTCTTCGATGAGAAGAGGAAGAGGTGATTGTTGCTGGTTACTGTATGACAATTGAAATCGGGAAATGGCCTTAAACAATTAGTAAATAAACTGCAGAACGTCATGTTTTCTAATACACGCGCGCATTGCATTCTGACAGCGCTGCATGAACTCGCGGTGCTATCTGCTCGTTAGCCAAGTTTCAAAGTCCAAACCGCGAGGGAAATCTGTGCTGTAACAGTGTACTCAGTTGCTCAGTCACATTTTTATTTTTTTTACAAGGCACGTGACATTGCGATATGTGCAACTTATTCGTAATGAGACTCATTTATAAATCTGCTGTTGTCTTCCTGCTCGTTTCCCCCAAAATAAAAGTTGAGAAAAAGCAATAACTCCATAAACAATCATAAATGTTAGTATTGTAATTTTACTGTTGTTCTGTAAAATAAAATAAAAAGTAAGACGACAATAATGATGATAATTTCAACAGCTCTGTTAATACATTTCTTATAACATTCACACATAGTGTTCAAATTGGGATCTGTAATATTTTAGAAGAAGGTTCTTCTGCACAGCAAGGCTGCTTTTAATTGTACAGTTAAAAATACATGCCTGATTCAAGAAGGGGGTCTGATGGCCAAAAAAATATTATTTTACTAACGTATTAATTTTAAGTGAAATTGTGCTTTGTTGGTATAACTATAATGTCTGCTAAAATGTAAAAAAAACCCTCAAAACCTTGTTCGGTATTCGGCCTTCGGCCCAGTATTTAATTTTGTTTGGTTTCGGCTTCGGCCAAGAATTTTCATTTCGGTGCATCCCTAAAATAAATGCATCCTTGGTGAGCAGAAGATTCTTCTTTCAACATTAAAAAAGCTCTTACTGACTTCAAACTTTTAAATGCTATAAATATAATTAATAGAATATTGTTTAGAAATAATTGATGGAAACAATTGATTGGCTGTTTTCAGGCATAGAGCCCCCGCGGGAATCCTTCAACCGCTGGCTTTTGGAGAGAAAGGTGGTGGATAAAGGTCTGGATCCGCTCTTGCCCAGCGAATGCGACCCGGTGATTTCCCCATCCATGTTCAGAGAAATCATGAACGACATCCCCATCAGGTACTAGAACATCCGTATTCAACGTTTCTCATTGTTTTTGTGTTGTATGTTTCAATATGGCAATGCTTTAATCATTTTCCAACACATTTCAGGCTCTCTCGTATCAAATACAAGGAAGAGGCCAGGAAACTCCTGTTTAAATATGCAGAGGCGGCCAAGAAAATGATTGACTCCAGGTAATTATTCATGTCGGTTACTTAAACTCTTTGAGATGAACAGGAATGCTGTATTAAAGTAATATTTCCCGGTTGCACAGAAATGCAACTCCTGACAGTCGGAAGGTGGTGAAGTGGAACGTCGAGGACACGATGAACTGGCTGAGACGAGACCATTCTGCCAGCAAGGAGGACTACATGGTACATTCTCAGTCGTGTTGCTCTGAGCTGCCTACCTAGACAGCCTTTCAAGGCATCATATGCATGACCATAACGCGATCTTTCCTCAGGATCGACTCGAGCACTTGCGGAAGCAGTGCGGGCCTCACGTGGCGTCCGTGGCGAAGGACTCCGTCGAGGGCATCTGTTCAAAGATCTACCATATTTCTGCAGAATATGTGCGCAGGATCCGGCAGGCTCACCTCACTCTGCTTAAAGAGTGCAACATCTCAGGTAGGAGCTGGAGATGTCTGTGAATCTGGACAACGGCCAATGAGGGTTTTATTGTGGACAAAAATCGACCAGCTCCAACAAAAAATGGATGATTTTTTTTTGGCCCTTCACTGTAGGTTTGACTTGAGAGCCTTTGTGAGTGATTTATTCTTCTTGCTTTAAAGTGGATGGCACAGAGCCGACAGAGGTCCAGGACCGGTTGGTGTATTGTTATCCAGTCAGACTGTCCATCCCGTCTCCTCCTCAGCCGCGTGTTGAGCTGCACTTCGAGAATGACGTTGCTTGTCTGCGGTATAAAGGGGAAATGGTGAAGGTCAACCGCGGTCATTTCAGCAAACTGGTGTGTATATGCTAAGACTAGCTCAAAATAGGACTGCGGCGATAAATCGATGCAGAATCAATTCGTGGATCGATTCTGAGATCTTCCGAATGCATTGCGATTCTCTCTGGAGTCGATTCTGAGCTTAACAGCAGATGGCGCGCTAATCTACTTTTTATCCGCACACTCAAATGCTCATGAAGAAGAGTGCTGAAAAGTCATGTAATTTCACATCGGCTCAGAATGCTTTTATGATGCGAGATTAATGTAAACAGCCCACTGTGAACACCCTTGTAATTCGCTTCAACCTTTTCGAATTTTATGTATGATTATTTTAGGTTCAAGTGTGTGTAAGCATTTGGAAACAAGCAGAGTACGGCTGTTTCTAAAGCATGCAGTGCCATCTGCTGTTCAAAACTAAGCTCAGAATCAACTTGAGAAAGAATCGCGATGCATTCGGAAAATCTCAGAATCGATGCTGAATCATTTCTCGATTCGCGATGCATCGATTTATTTTCCCAGCCCTAGCTCACAACCGATTAAGGTTGGATACTTTGGATTCTTATTTTGTTACCTTTATTGCTCTTGTACAAACAGGAACTCTTATATCGGTACAGCTGTATTGATGACTTTAAATGCTATAAATATAATTAATAGAATATTGTTTAGAAATAATTGATGGAAACAATTGATTGGCTGTTTTCAGGCATAGAGCCCCCGCGGGAATCCTTCAACCGCTGGCTTTTGGAGAGAAAGGTGGTGGATAAAGGTCTGGATCTGTTTTTACCCAGCGAATGCGACCCGGTCATTTCTCCATCCATGTTCAGAGAAATCATGAACGACATCCCCATCAGGTACTAGAACATCCGTATTCAACGTTTCTCATTGTTTTTGTGTTGTATGTTTCAATATGGCAATGCTTTAATCATTTTCCAACACATTTCAGGCTCTCTCGTATCAAATACAAGGAAGAGGCCAGGAAACTCCTGTTTAAATATGCAGAGGCGGCCAAGAAAATGATTGACTCCAGGTAATTATTCATGTCGGTTACTTAAACTCTTTGAGATGAACAGGAATGCTGTATTAAAGTAATATTTCCCGGTTGCACAGAAATGCAACTCCTGACAGTCGGAAGGTGGTGAAGTGGAACGTCGAGGACACGATGAACTGGCTGAGACGAGACCATTCTGCCAGCAAGGAGGACTACATGGTACATTCTCAGTCGTGTTGCTCTGAGCTGCCTACCTAGACAGCCTTTCAAGGCATCATATGCATGACCATAACGCGATCTTTCCTCAGGATCGACTCGAGCACTTGCGGAAGCAGTGCGGGCCTCACGTGGCGTCCGTGGCGAAGGACTCCGTCGAGGGCATCTGTTCAAAGATCTACCATATTTCTGCAGAATATGTGCGCAGGATCCGGCAGGCTCACCTCACTCTGCTTAAAGAGTGCAACATCTCAGGTAGGAGCTGGAGATGTCTGTGAATCTGGACAACGGCCAATGAGGGTTTTATTGTGGACAAAAATCGACCAGCTCCAACAAAAAATGGATGATTTTTTTTGGCCCTTCACTGTAGGTTTGACTTGAGAGCCTTTGTGAGTGATTTATTCTTCTTGCTTTAAAGTGGATGGCACAGAGCCGACAGAGGTCCAGGACCGGTTGGTGTATTGTTATCCAGTCAGACTGTCCATCCCGTCTCCTCCTCAGCCGCGTGTTGAGCTGCACTTCGAGAATGACGTTGCTTGTCTGCGGTATAAAGGGGAAATGGTGAAGGTCAACCGCGGTCATTTCAGCAAACTGGTGTGTATATGCTAAGACTAGCTCAAAATAGGACTGCGGCGATAAATCGATGCAGAATCAATTCGTGGATCGATTCTGAGATCTTCCGAATGCATTGCGATTCTCTCTGGAGTCGATTCTGAGCTTAACAGCAGATGGCGCGCTAATCTACTTTTTATCCGCACACTCAAATGCTCATGAAGAAGAGTGCTGAAAAGTCATGTAATTTCACATCGGCTCAGAATGCTTTTATGATGCGAGATTAATGTAAACAGCCCACTGTGAACACCCTTGTAATTCGCTTCAACCTTTTCGAATTTTATGTATGATTATTTTAGGTTCAAGTGTGTGTAAGCATTTGGAAACAAGCAGAGTACGGCTGTTTCTAAAGCATGCAGTGCCATCTGCTGTTCAAAACTAAGCTCAGAATCAACTTGAGAAAGAATCGCGATGCATTCGGAAAATCTCAGAATCGATGCTGAATCATTTCTCGATTCGCGATGCATCGATTTATTTTCCCAGCCCTAGCTCACAACCGATTAAGGTTGGATACTTTGGATTCTTATTTTGTTACCTTTATTGCTCTTGTACAAACAGGAACTCTTATATCGGTACAGCTGTATTGATGACCCGAGGTTTGAAAAGTTCCTATGTCGTGTGTGGTGCCTTAACAAAAGATACCAGGTAATACTCATATTACGGACATTGGTAGCCAATCAGGAAGCCAAATGCAGCATCAACGTGTGTTTCTGCCCTCTTGTGAATCACAGGTGATGTTTGGGTCCGGAGTGAACGAGGGGTCTGGTCTGCAGGGGGCGCTGCCTGTTCCCGTCTTTGAGGCTCTCAACAAACAGTTTGGAGTGACATTCGAGTGCTTCGCTTCTCCTCTTAACTGCTATTTCAAGCAGTTCTGCTCTGCGTTTCCAGACATTGATGGCTTCTTTGGATCTCGAGGGTATGTAAATGTGTTCTTGTTCATTAGTATTATTTTTGTGGTTTGAAAAGGCAATGAAAAGTGATGTTCCAACAGCTTTTGAGGATAAACTTATTTCAGAATGATGCTTTTTTATTGAACAATTGTGTATTATAAAATGTCTTGCAAATGAGTTGCTAAATGTTACTGAATGAGCCACAGTAATGTACCGTAATGTTTTGGACATTGCAATTATTGCTATATTTTTGGGGTTTATTTGTTTTTTTTAATCTATTTTTAATTTAGTATCATGTTCTTTTTATTTTAAATAATTGTAATTGGTAAAATTATAAAACCAAAACCATTATCGCTTTTGTAAAACACCATCCTAACATTTCTGACTTTTGTAATTTTTCAGTTTCAGTTTTTCAGTTGTTTTATAAAAGCAAGCATGGCTTCTTTCAGAGAGGTTAATTTGCTATATTGTATCACTCCTCTCTGTCTTCACAGGCCATTTTTCAGCTTCTCTCCAGCCAGCGGCTCATTTGAGGCCAACCCTCCGTTCTGTGAGGAACTCATGGATGCCATGGTGAAACACTTTGAGGTGAGTGACTCTTAACGTCATCCCACAGTCGTTAGATCAGAATATATTACATAAACATTCCCATTCGGATTCTCATTAGGTGTGTTTCCATTACAGATTTGCGTAAAACTTTGGCGATATTTTATAAATGTCGATAAAAATGTATTGCGAAATGACGGCGTTTCCATTAACCAATGTTATTAAACTTAAACGTAACCTCTTGTCTCTCGTGATAAGTCATGGCAATGGATTTTGGTGGGATTTTGATGGATTTTGGCTATATTTATTCAAAGGAGGCTTATGTGTGTATCTTTACAGAAGCAGCAAAGAGAGCCGCTTCAGAAACGTGTGTAGCGCGGCTGAAATAAACCATAGCCTGTATGAAAACATAAACAAAAGCATTGAGTGGCCGCAATCAGCTTCAGTGACCGTATCAGAGCCACAGTGCACCGCAGACATGTGCAGTGTAAATTGTCTAAGCATTAATAGTAGGAAAGGGAAGGGAAAGCCCTTTCCTTTTTTTAAGGGAAATCCCCTTATACTGGAGCGCGGCCACGTATGAAGTCTTTCTTGGAGGTTATAGTACATTGAAAAATGATCATATGACTTTTTACATATGCCATGTGACCTGTAAATGTGAAAAAGCCGTTTCAATTGCAGTTTTGCGAATTATTCCTTTTTCGCATTGCCTGAAAAACCACCTCATGCGAGCGTACAAACTTTTTTGCGATATATGGGCGTTTTTGCGAAACTGACTAATGTCTCTCTGTCTTTCTCAGGATCTTCTGGAACACTCCAGCGAGCCGCTGTCCTTCATCATCTTTGTGCCAGAGTGGCGTGACCCGCCGACCCCTGCCCTGACACGGATGGAGGCCAGTCGCTTCCGCAGGCACCAGATGATTGTGCCTGCTTTCGAGCACGAGTACCGCAGCGGCTCGCAGCACATCTGCAAAAGGTCAGACATTTGTTGGTCTGTTTCCTTGTTCTTGTGGTTTTAGTATCTTGTTCACTGCACAAATCTAACCAAAAGGTCTTTTAAACCGCAATTGCCACAAGTTTTGTGAAGTTTAAAGGAAGTTCATTCCGAAATGAAAATTTGCTGAAAATGTGCTCACCTTTAGGCCATACACGATGTGGATGAGTTTGTTTCTTCATTAGATTTGGAGAAATGTAGCATTACATCACTTTCTCACCAATGGATCCTCTGCGGTGAATGGGTACCGTCAGAATGAGAGTCCAAACTGATAAAACTGGGCTGATAAAAACTTCACAATTATCCACACCACTCCAGTCTATCTATTAACGTCTTGTTTATAAGAAAAAAATACATCAAGGCGTTTTTAAACTTTAAATCTTTGCTTCCGGCTAAAATATGAGTCCTCAATCTATAATATTGTTTCCTCCAGTGAAAAAGTCATCTCGTCTGAATCCGTTGAGAAATATGCACAGATCAAGCACTGTTTATATATGAAAACAGTTCTAAACAAAAATGTGGGAGGACAACAGGGGATTGATTTTGTCATTGGATGAAGTGTTATTAATTATGGACTCGTATTTTAGCCGGAAACAACGGTTTGAAGTTAAAAATATGCAGCTTTTGGCTTCTCAAGATGTTAACTGATGGACTGGAGGGGTGTGAATTACTTGTGGATTATTGTGATGTTTTTATCCGCTATTTGGACTCTCATTCTGACGGCACCCATTCACTGCAGAGGATCCATTGGTGAGCAAGTGATGCAATGCTACATTTCTCCAAATCTGTTCTGATGAAGAGACAAACTCATCTACATTTTGAATGGCCTGAGGGTTTCATTTTTGGTGAACTATTCCTTTAAAGGTTTAGTTCACCCAAAAATGAAAATTGGCTTGTGTTTTACTCACCCTCGAGGCATCCTAGGTGTATATGACTTTCTTCTTTCAGATGAATCCAGTCGGAGTTATATAAAAAATTCCAAGCTCTATCATTGCAGTCAGCGTGTTGTAATTGAACAGTCCACAAGTCGTCAAATAAAGCGTGCGCATCCATAACAAAACGTGCCTCACACAGCTCCGGGGGGTGAATAAAGGCCTTCTGTAGTGAATCCATGCGTTTTTGTAAGAAAAATATTTTTCTTAATAACACTTTTCTATCACTTCCGCCATCTGTCATATGTGGAAGCCGTTCCGGAGGATGATGTAAGACGTCTGCGTTGCGTGATTAGTGATGAATGCGGAGAGACAACAAAACAAAACGCCGGTCACGAATTAGAAGTACAAGCCGAGGATTTGCAAAGAAAATTGTCGAGGATTTGCAAAGAAATATAATTGAAAATATTTCGATATAAGCCAAGAGGAGACTGGTTTTCCTTTGCTAAAGTAAGGAAACTTTGCTTCCTTTGCTCCTATAAAACAAACTCGCGATACTAGCATACCTCAGAGGGGCGCGCACTGCGCATACGCCTTCCGTCGGAACGCCTTCCTCGTATGACAGATAACGGAAATGAGAGAAAAGTGTTTATTACGTTTGAAATATGGATATTTTTCTTACAAAAAAGCATGGATTCACTACAGGAGGCCTTTATTCATCCCCTGGAGCCGTGTGAGGCACGTTTTATTATGGATGCGCGCGCTTTATTTGACGACTTGTGGACTGTTCAACTGCAACACCCGCTGACTGCAGTGATAGAGCTTGGAATAGCCAAGACAAGTTTTAATATAACTCCGACTGGATTCGTCTGAAAGAAGAAAGTCATATACACCTAGGATGCCTCGTGGGTGAGTAAAACACAAGCCAATTTTCATTTTTGGGTGAACTAACCCTTTAACTCATGTTTAGCTGCCATGACTCATGTTTCTCCTCTGTGTCTCAGAGAAGAGATGTACTACAAGTCTGTCCATGGAACAGCAGTCATTTTCCTCCAAAACAACGCTGGCTTTAGCAAATGGGAGCCCACCACGGAGAGAATCCAGGAGTTCCTGGCGGCGTATAATGTCTCTGGCCGTTCATTGCCCTCACCTGGTCCTCCTTCCACCAGTACAGGAGACAAAGACTCCAAACCGGTCCAGGAGCGCTTGGCTAAGACTCAAGACGACAGCAGTCCTGTTGACAAGACTGCTCCGGACACAACAAACATTTAGACCGCGGCGCTGGCGTGTGGCCACGTGTATGTATGTATGTTTATGGGAAAGAGTCTATGATTGTATGAGAGGTTTAATATTGCGCTGTTGGGTTTAGATGGGCACTGGGCATGTAAATGTTCACGCGAGAAGAAGAAAGACCCATATTTGTTTACTTTCTTCCACCTCTATTATTTAATATTATTTGTTTTAGGTTTTTTGAGTTATGTTATCATAATTGTTGGGTTTTATATCAGTGTATGTTAGTTTGGTCACTTTTTTTTTTTTTTAAGAGATGATAAATGTAGTCATGCCTATCTTTTTTTAATTTTTGTTGACCTTTTTAGGGTGAATCTCATTGAAATGTCATATTTCACACCAAGATCGAAAGAAAATTATTTTGCGTAAAGAAAAAGCAGAAAGCCTTTGAAGTTTTTCATTAGCATCTTCTTCAACAATCATGCAAGTTTTTTTCATTTTCATTTGAGTTTTTGTAGTTTTCATTATTCTAAATGGTTAATCTTTCATTACATTATTTTCATTTGTTATACAGTAATTATTTACTGTATTACAGTTAAAAAGTTACTATTACAATTATATATAAAAAAATTAAAAAAAAGTCAGCCTAGATTAAATTAAACACAATGCAACATGTTAGCTCTGGGGTTTTACTACCTAAATATATTTTGCATTACGGTAGTAAATTATTTTTATTTTTTTTGCGTTACGGTGTACATAAAAAATAATATAAAATTACAAAACCGGAACAGTTTTTAAATAGGCTTCATATTCTTATAAGTAAAATAAAATAGCATATTTCTTTGTTGATTTTGGGTTGAAATAAGACCGGCTTTGTGATATTCACTCTTTAACTCTGTGCTTTTGTCACTGGCAGGATTACGAAGCTGTCAATGAGTTGATGCACCAATGCTTGTATATTGTTGTTTTAGATGATTCAGAAGACGATCGGCGATCAGGCAGCTATGTTAAAAATGCCTTCATCCTGACATGCATTAACGTTAGTGCTTCTCGTCAGTTCCTGTTAAACCCGTTCATAGGCGTTCCTTTTGGAGTTGCGAGGTCACGTTTGGTTGCTTCATGTCAGAATATATACTGTATGTAATAACAAAAGGTCAGTAAAGAAGCAGAAAAATATTTATAATCTAGTTTCCACCCAGTCATCCATCTGCAGTGAAAGCCAGTCCGTTTTCTTTTGTTTCTAAAATATTGTACAGAACACAATAGCAAATCTGAAATTGTTGAACTGTAAGGATTTTCTACCTTTATTGCATTCTTGGTTTCTGTACAGTACCTGCCTGTCCTAATGTGGCATTCTGGGTCACGTCAGTTTTGTAGCATTTAGGGTCTAGCAAGTGGACAAAGAAAAGTCAAATTCCTTATTAGTTATGAAAGCATTATTCCAACTTTGTGGTGTTTTATTGAGAATGGATTAGCTGGTTAATATGGCGTACGCCCCTCGTTTTTTCTCCAGTGAGTCTACCTCTCATTTCGGGGTGTTTTATAATTGAGAGCAACGACATCTGGAAACTCAAACGGAGCAGTAAACGAGTGGCTCATTCTTTCTTTAATAACTGCATTGGCGTCCAGTTATTAGAATTGGTTGCTATTGCCTTGATTTCACCGTTTCGTGTATTTGAAAAGTGCTTTAAAAGTTGACTCTTTTTTTTTTTTTTCGTTTTGTTTTTTTATTCTAATCCGAAGTGTGTTTACATGATATTGGTTTAAATTGTATCACTGGGCAGCGTTTTGAATGTACATTTTAAAAAAGGAAAAGAGAAAAGTTATTGATGGATTTGTTGCTACAATTGGACTTTAAATGTTGCGATTATTAACACTACAATGGTGGATCTTTATTTTTTGTTTGTTTTTGCCCTGCGAGTACGTATGTAGAAATTCATTTTGTAAGCCCAATCACTTCCATCTGTAAGAAAGTATAGGTTTGTTTGGTTGTTTTTATTCAGTGGACTACATTGTCTTGTAGCCAAACTTGGGAAATGGCTTTTATATTAAGTTTAAAAGCATTCTAGTGGTTTGACGTGTAATGTAACCCATCTTGCCATTTATAAAATCCAGTATAATCCTTGGTTGAAGCATTGGGCACTTGTTGGATTTCTCAATCCCAGAGTGGATCACCAGCAAAACTGTAGATGTTGTACAGAACATGGCTATGAAGTTTGTCGTTTTCCTACACGGCTCTTGTGCGTTTATTTGGAAAGAAAACAAAAGATGTCTTTTTCACCATGCTTTTGTTTAATTTAACGTTTTGGTTCTAAATAGCTGTTTATGAATTATAGAATTGATGAAATAGTTGTTTTAAACTAAACCAAAGTGTTATTAAAAGAGGAGGAATTTATCTTGTATCTTAAAGTAGAATCGTGTACAAACGCGTCAGTAATGCATAGTGTAACCAGCAAAAACATCCATTTATTCATAACTTTATTTTTATAATGCTTTTTATTTTTTTTGCTCTTTGTTTTCTTACAAAGACATTTCTTGCATGACCTGATATTTTTCATTACCAAAAAAATTCTAAATTGTACAGATCTGTATCGTTTAATTAGTCGTACGTTTAGCCACACTAGGCTTTTAACCGATTTGTATTTATCAGTCATGTTGATTGATTTATATTTGGTCGCCATTGCGTTTGTTGATTCAGTGTCCTCTAAAATGCCATGAATGTCTCCCCTGTAATCTTATTCTGATGAAGACAAAGATTCAGTGAATGTAAATATGTCTGTGCTTATATAATTTTTCTTCTATCTGTATATTATCAGTGTTGTGGCATTTCCCATCACCTAAAGTGGTATAAAGATTTTCCTCTGAATCAGAAAAGCTCTCAGTAAAATATTGAAATCATGCACCAATCTCTGGCCTATTTATTGTACATATTTGAAGTGTCATCAGTAACATTGTACAGTAACACTAACAAAAAGTACCATGATATTACCATTGTTTATTTTGGACATGGTACCATGATAATACCAGGTTTTATGTATAGCTGGTATAATTTAAAGTACCTTGGAGTTGGTGTGTGTATGTGTGTATATATATATATATTAGTTTAGTGTCATGGTAAATGCATAGTTTCGCCTCAAACAAGCGTCTTCCGTGCCACAACAATGATGGCCGCTCGCTCCGTGGGACAGTCTGACGCGTGACCACGCCCATGGTGCGTGTGCGCATGCGCACTACCGATCTTGGACTTTTATTTTGAAATTCGAGCCAGAACGTTGTTTACGTCACTGCATTAGTGAGCTTGAGGAAGCGACTGACAATTCATCGAGCTATCGGACTCTGACAAACAGTGTTTTTTCTGATTACTTCATTGTTTCGAAACGCTTGTTATTCTCAGAAGGGTCTGAATTAGCTCGCCGGCTATCTGACTGCATTGAGTTGCTGTCAGCTCGCAGCGGTGAAGTGCGCACGCATCACGAACCCCTGGAGCTTTCTGTCGATCTTCATCGATCCGCTGAGAATATATTGATTGTGAGTGATGGGGGCCCAGAGGAGTGAGGGACGCAGAGACTGGCTCCAGCAGGATTTCAGCGAGCAGCAGGTCCAGACAGCGGTGAGTCAAACTCAGTCGCTGTAAACTATGCACCATAACTGAACATATTTCACCCAAAAATATATAAAAGAAAAATATTGTGCACAAATAAAATGAATCCTGTTTTTAGGGCAATTAACAATTTTTGCATTCTTATTACAGTAATGTTTTGTTTAATTATTTATTTTATTATTTTTAAGAACTATCTAGCTATCTATGCATGTTGTATATAATTATTTTATTTTTATATATATTTTTTCTTTTTAAGAACTATCTAGCAGTGTATATATATATATATATAAGTAAAACCATTCAGTTACATGCATAAACTTGCAATTATAAATTATTTATTAATGGAACTTTCATTATATTATTAATCGTGCAAGAGTGCTGTCCTGATTGGAACTTGATTGTTGCATCCTTTTTTTGTAATGGCCATTTACATTTTATGAAAATGTTTTTCCGAATGGCAGAATCCCTGGAACATCATGATCAAACACAGACAGGTGCATCGCAGAGGACGGCGCTCACAGATGGCCGTTAGGTAAGTCCACTAATAGGTATTTTAAAGGGGTCATATGATGCGATTTCAATTTCTCTTTGGAGTGTTACAAGCTCTTGGTGCATAAAGAAGATCTGTAAAGTTACAAAGACTAAAGTCTCAAATCCAAAGAGATATTTTTTTATAAAAGTTAAGAGTCAGCCACGCCTACCTAAAACGGCTCGTTCTAACACACCCCCACATATCTACATCACTATGTGGGAAGATTTGCATAACGCCGTCCAAATGTTCACGCAAAGAAAGAAGGCGTAACTTTTATTCTCGCTGTAGTTTTGTTGACGCTGCCGCCATGTCGTGAAGGCGCTGTGTGCTTCGTTGTGAAAGTGAAACTACTTTGTTTGGTCTTCCAAAAGAGGACGATATCTGCTTCGTCATGCTTAGAGCTGATCCGTGCTGGTCGCTGAGGAAATACATCAACTTTCACCGTGGACAAAGCGGAGTCCAGCCCAGGGTCCGTCACATGTGTTTGCCGCTCATCCGTCGGATCTCGACCCCGCCGCCTCAGCTCACTCTATCCCGGCCTCAGCGCATGCTAAGCCGGGGCTTCCCGTCACGCTAGGCCGCTGTGTGTTTCGTTGTGAAAGCGAAACTACTTTGTTTGGTCTTCCAAAAGAGGACACAACTACAAATCAGTGGTATTTACAACACTGTTCCAGAACAGTTTAACCCAAATATCCTGTTTACTGATCCTGGGAGAGTAACGTTAGACTAAAATGTCGGCAGTTCTGACTCACGTAAGTACGTTTTCATTTAAAGAATTTGCCACTGATGATTCAAACGCGAGTTTTGAGCAGTGTAGAGTAGCACTTGTTGTTTGTCATTTCTCCGATCACAAATACAGACATGGTTTTATGTTTACGCGGCACGATGGAATGCGTAAAAAGACAATATAAGTCATTATAATCAGTAATGATGTCCCCACTGGATGCAACAAATGCCTCGTTTATAATGGGTTTTATTGTTTATGTCTCGTTGCACCGGGACACGGCACCACAGTATGGTGCGGGGCGTAACATTTCCGTCTCACGCTTGAGGAATTCGGCCAATCACAACGCACTATCCAGCTGGCCAATCAGAGCACACCTCGCTTTTCAGACCGATGAGCTTTGTAAAAATCGACGCGTTTCAGAAAGGCGGGGCATAGAGGAGAAACAATAATGTACAGTATGTGGAAAATAATGTGTTTTTTTAACTTTAAACCACATAAACACATTTCATTACACCAAATACACCAAATAATGTTATTTTTAGCAACATCATATGACCCCTTTAAGATGAAGTGCAACATTTGTTTTCATTGTTAAACTACTTTGTCCTATCGCAGGATAATGTGCTGTAATGAAGTCATTTGTAGGAGATTTGTGGTTCTTTCAAAACATCAATGTCATTGTGTGTAGTTATACAGACCCGGTCATTTCCATGGATCTTCTGCGGACCGTTCTGCAGCCCAGCTTCAATGAAGACATCCGTGCTGTGTTCAGAAAATATATGAAGGTGATTGATCGATCACATTATTATTTTGGCACTGGTTACGTGTGTTTAAATTGCTTTGATCATGTTTTTTTTTTTTACTCTTTTCTTTGCAGTTTTTTGAGAAAGCGGCCAGCAATGTGAAAGAGAATGTTGGAGTTGACGTCCAGCCCGAGCAGCTTATCAGAGATGCTTGCAGAAACTGCCTGGAACATGTAAAACATGATTTATGCACATTTTTACAAATATAAATGCTAAAATTAGTGGTAAGTCAAATTATGAGTTGATGTTCTGTTTCTATTTTAGGCAAAACAGCTCTTTCCTGGTACAGAGAAAACGGCCCTGAAACCCAGTGTTGACCCAACAGTGAAGGTAAGTGTTACGCAGTTCCTCGAGAATTGAATTTAATATGTTAATTAGTCTGCAAAAACCTGCACACTTACCTGAAAAACTATACATGTATCTGGAATTGTAGCAGACATTTTTCTGTTCTGATTTTTTTTAAATTTGTTTTAGTTCTAAGTTGTTTATTTATTTATTTTATTTTTTATTTCTTATCGATTTTCATTTCACAGCGTGCACGGCAGCCAGACGACACCTCTGGCCAGAGAGACAGTCCCATCCCTAAAAAGGTATAAAAAAAATAAAATAGCATATTTGGAAATATTATTGCAATTTAAAATAACTGGGTTTCTTTTGTTTTTTTTTTTAAATATATTGTAAAATTTAATTTATTCCTGTGATGCAAAGCTGAATTTTCAGCATCATTTCTCCAGTCTTCAGTGTCACATGATCCTTCAGAAATCATTCTAATATTTTTATTTTAGTAGTATTACTACTGTTTTATTTTATTATTATTATTATTATATATATTTTTGAGGTCTATGGGTTATGTCCTGTATAGCTGATTCTAGTTTTGTGTTTTTTACATTTCTGTAAAAACTCAATAAAACAGTTGTTAACAAAAAAAAATCATTCTAATATTTTCAGAGGAAAGGTCGCCCTCCAGGTACTGTTGTACAGTATGACAGACCAGCCTCGTACAGCACCGCGTAAGTGTCCTTATGTTTCCTTTATCTGATATCTCCACATATTAAAGACTTATGTTTTTGAAGTTTTTAAACATCCTCCGCAGAGCAAAACTCAAAATATCCGAGCCAATAAAGCGAGAAGGACCTAAGGTATGTGCATTTGGATTAAAATAGCATAATAATTGATACTGAAATGTTTATATGATATTAATGTGAGTGTGTTGATGTCTGTATAGTGGGACCCATCCAGACTGACTGAGAGCAGCACATTCGTTCTGGGATCCAGGGCAAATAAGTAAGTGTACATAGGTTTGCTCATATTATATTATATTATATTATATATTTCACAATAGCTGATGTTTGGATGTATACGTTCAACAAGTACTAATATAATTTCAGGGCTTTGGGAATGGGCGGTACAAGAGGAAGAATCTACATCAAACATGCAGAGCTCTTCAAGGTACTTTTAGTCTTTTCTGAGCATTCATTAAGCTTTTTCTGTGTTCATGTGGAGGTAATATCTTTTTTGTCTCAGTATGCCGCTGATGCTCAGGACAAACACTGGCTTTCAGAAAGACAGCACATGAGAGCCACCGGTGGAAAGATGGTGAGGACATTCTGTTTTCAAAATATGGAATAATTCACCCAAAAATGAGTTTCCTGAAAAAAAATAATAAAATGTTTAGCCTCAGGCCATTCAAAATGTAGATTAATTTGTTTCTTCACCTGAACAGATTTAGAGAAATGTAGCATTGCATCACTTGCTCAGCAATGGATGCTCTGCAGTGAATGGGTGCCGTCAGAATGAGAGTCCAAACAGCTGATAAAAACATCACAATGATCCACAAGTAATCCACAGCACTCCAGTCCGTCAGTTAATGTCTTGTGAAGCCAAAAGCTGTGTGTTTGTAAGAAACAAATACGTCATTGAGACAATTTTAACTCAAAACTTTGTTTCTGGCCAAAATAGTCCATAATATTGCTTCCTCCAGTAAAAAAGCCATCTGGTCTTAAAGGAACACTCCACTATTTTTGAAAATAGGCTCATTTTCCAACTCCCCTAGAGTTAAACAGTTGAGTTTTACCGTTCTCGAATCCATTCAGCCGATCTCCGGGTCTGGCGGTAGCACTTTTAGCTGTAGCTTAGCATAGATCATTGAATCTGATTAGACCGTTAACATCTCGCTCAAAAATGACCAAAGAGTTTCTATATTTTTCCTATGATTTCTGCAATGATATTACGCAGCGCCTGAAAATAGTCCCCAGCTAGGTAACTTCCAACGTGATCGGCACTAAGTTTGTGTAGTTGGTTATGTTGACGGAAGTTAGCCTATTTTCAGGCTCTGTGTAATATCATTAGGCCTGCTGCACCCATGGTACGGCAGCAAAGTTCCTTGATTATTACGCCGGAATGAGAGTATAGTTCCTAGCCATATCGGCCTAGAAAATCGCAACTTTTCATTTTCCGTCGGTCTTAGTACACGATGTAACTACAGAAGAGTCAAGTTTTAAATAGGAAAAATATAGAAACTCTTTGGTCATTTTTGAGCGAGATGCTAACGGTCTAATCAGATTCAGTGATCTATGCTAAGCTACAGCTAAAAGTGCTACCGCCAGACCCGGAGATCGGCTGAATGGATTTGAAAACGGTAAAACTCAACTGTTTAACTCCAGGGGAGTTGGAAAATGAGCCTATTTTCAAAAATAGTGGAGTGTTCCATTTAAATAAGGAGAGAAATATGCACAGATCAAGCAACAATTACAATAAAAACTATTCTTTATTCTAAATAAATATTTTTGTGTATTTTGATGTGAGAGGACAACAGGAGACAACAGGACTTTTGCACTGGAGGAAGCGTTATTATAGATTACGGCCAGAAGAGACGGTTTAAAGTTAAAACGTCTTAATGATGGATTTGTTTTCTACAAGCATTTGGCTTCACAAGATTAATGGATGGACTGGAGTGGTGTGGATTATTGTGATGTTTTTATCAGCTGTTTGGACTCTCATTCTGACGGCACCCATTCACTGCAGAGCATCCATTGCTGAGCAAGTGATGCAATGCTACATTTCTCCAAATCTGATGAAGAAACAAACTCATCTTCATGTTGAATGGCCTGAGGGTGAGTGAATTTTCTGCAAATTTTCATTTTTGGGTGTATTACAATTGGTCATCGTCTTATTTAAACTCTCTCTTCTCAGGCCTATCTGCTAATAGAAGAGGATGTTCTTGATCTTGCCCGAAGTGAAGACTACAAGTAAATAAACATTTTCTTACTAAATAAAACATATGAAAGACTGATGAATGAATTTTACAGGCAACATGCATCATGAAATTTTCTTTGAATCTTAGGGACTGTCCTGACTTGAAGCTGGATGAATTGAAACCATTTCTAGTGCCAATATGGATGGTGGAGAAGATGCAGAAGGCAATGGAAGCACAGAAATCAGAAAATGATCTTGTCATATAGTGCCACGCAAGTCGTTGGACCACGGACACTCTTGAGTGTTACCAATTTATCATAACTGTAACTTTTTATTGTTTATTTTGTTTGTGCGATGTTCATAGTAGACCCAGGCATTACGATCAAGTTGCCCAGAAATTGTTGCATTGGGGGTTTACTTGACAAATCAAAATGCCACATTTCATTTCACACGCTATTGTCTAAACTGGTGTAGATCTGATTTCTTTTTTCTGGCAACAAATGTGTGCTTTGGTTTTTAAAATACTTGAATATCTAATGAGGCACCTGAAGAGCCTTAATGATTTTTTGTGTGTGTGTGTGTTTATGTGTGAGTCTATGTCCTATTTTTTTTAAAACAAATTAATTTTATGAAATGTCATATCTGCTTTCAAATGGAAGTTATTTAGTTATTTTAATTTGCCACTTATTTCTCTTTTTAAATATATTGCATTGTTCTAAAAAAAAAAAGCAACAACTAAGAAGCTACTTCTCTCTCAGCAGAACTATACGAGCCGTGATGGTTTTTACCTTATAGTATCTTTTGTAACTTAAATGTTTTCTTTTTTTTAATGTAATTGACTGATTTTATAACTAATTAAAAATGTGGGGAGTTGGTAAGTATTTAAATTATTTTCTAAATGAATTTCATACCTGTTACACTCACCTAATGTCTGTTATAACTGAAAATGTAGAACAGTTTATTAATGTATGCAAGTATATTTACCAATAAACAGTTTTGTGCTAAATGGTGTTTTTAAATGAATACGCAAACTTGTAACTAGTAGTCAAACTAGTTCGTTTGCTGCACTGAATGACCAAAGCTACTCAACGGTTATAGACACACCCACCTGGCCGTATTACCCAATCAAATCAAAGTGTTGTGCCTAGCTCAGTGCTGATTGGTTGCTAAGCATTCGCTTTGTTCGTAATCTGTGCTTCTGATTGGTTGAACTGATGGGAAGGCGGAGAATTCCGTTGGGCAACCTAAGTTTAAACAGGGGGCGGGATGTGATTTAAACATTTCGTTGTTGTCGACTGCACTGAACACAGCCGGTAATAATACGAATCATTTAAATCATACTCCTTTTAATATATATATATATATATATATATCAAGATGATTTATATACGTTTTATTGTTATGTAGCGGTATAGATATGTGTTTTAAATCGTTAGTTTTATATGACGCTTGCTTTTATGTAACGTTACGTCGGTTTGTTTAGCTTCTCACCGGCTGCTAGGCCTATAGCCGGTTACCTCACATTCGAATGAGAACCCGTTAACTACACGAGGACGAAAACGAAGCAATTTCAGTGCTACTAGTTCTTCAAAACGCAGTTCGTTTCAGCCTCTAGTTTCCATTCACTCGATTCAGTTTCCTTCCGCCGGTTAGTGTAGTTTGACATGAAGCTCACTAACGCGAAGTATACAACGCAAACGAGCTTTCTGTGTTGTAACCCGCTTTGACTGGTGTAACGTTAGGTGTGCGCGTTTTAACAGCAAGTGTTTTCCTCCTGTAAACCCATCGCAGATCTGACGCGATGGCCTCTCAGAATATGGACCCCGCGGCAGCCTCGTCCACAGCAGCGCTGAAGGGCAGCGAAACTAGCGGAAGCGTGTCGAAAGGATCCGTCACTAAAAGGTTTGATTGCTGCTCATATTCCCTTTAAATGTACTGAACGCTTCTGTGTGTGCGACACACTGGCCGTTCCCAGAAAGAAATGCATGTAGGATGCCTTGAAACTTGAAATAAATTCTAATGGAATCAAACAATATTCTTCTGTAACAACTACAGTTCCTACAGGCTTGTTTATTCTTTGAGTTTCGGCTGGAAAAAGTGTATTCTTAATCGGAACAGTATTTGTATTGAAATACTGTGTATTGCACTGGAGTTAAACCATATCAAGCCAGCAAGAGTCCTGCTCAGTACTGTTTATTGAACTTGTAATAAAGGCAGAGTCACAAGAAGTTCATACTGAGTAACGCATGATTTCTGATAAAATTTTAGTTTTTTTTTTTTTTACCCCCCAATTATACTGTCAACCAAAAGTATTCAGTGCATCTAACTTTGCATGTAATCAAACAATACACAGATTATCTTCCCATGTTAAAGAAATACCTCTGGGGTTTATAAGATGTCTTAAAGTCCTTTAAATGTGTTGTGATGTCCAACAGGAACGTTTACGTTATTGGTATTCATAATTGAGAGCTAGAAAGTACTTGTAGTTTGAATGGAAATCCATTAGGACTTTTTGTGCCTAGCGGACGCTAGTTTCTCAATTTTATTTCACTGCGGTTAATACCATTTTTGCATGAATTTTGGAGTCTGAAATGACAGTCATATATATATATATGTATGTGTTGTGATTGCATTTGTTGTTGTTTTTTTTTTGTTTATTCATGTTAATTTTCAATCTCTCCCTTTCCCTCCGTAGGCTTCAACAAGAGCTGATGACGCTAATGGTGGGACCTTTTTATACAGCTGGTATTTTGTTTGGCCTTTTTAACTGTAGTTTGTTAACTCCGTGCTTTGTTAAATGCAGATGTCCGGAGACAAGGGCATATCAGCGTTTCCAGAGTCTGACAATCTCTTCAAATGGATTGGCACAATAGATGGAGCTCAAGGAACGGTAAGAAGAACTGTTGTTTTCTTCCCCGTGATGTCAGGAAATGGGTTTCTTATGTGCAACATACTAATCTAGATAATTGGAAGATTATACTTAAAACCATCTTTTTTTTTTTTTTTGTTCCTGATCAGGTTTATGAAGGTTTGAGGTACAAACTTTCACTGGAGTTTCCTAGCGGGTACCCCTACAACGCCCCTCGGGTGAAATTCATCACTGCATGTTTCCACCCAAATGTTGATGAGAATGGCTTCATCTGCCTAGACATTTTAAAGGACAAGTGGTCTGCACTATATGATGTCCGCTCCATTCTATTGTCCGTTCAGAGTTTATTAGGAGGTAGGTTATGCTTTTGATACGAGTAGTGCTGAGCAAAATTCAGAAACTTGTATAACTTTCGATTCATGAGTTGAAATTTGGCCACAACATGAAACCCGTTTTGTGATACTATGATTATGCCCTGATGAATAGAAAACTGTTATTCAGATCTTTATTCATGTAAGGTCATCTACTTTCTCCTGTTATGTAAAGCAGCATGTCTGTTCTGATTTGTTTTAAGTAATTTACTAGCTGTCTTGTCTGGATCATTGTACTCATGAATTTCTTATTTTAGAACCCAACAATGATAGTCCAATGAACTCTGCGGCTGCTGAACTATGGGATGATCAGGAAGGTAATTGATCATGCCAGAGTCAAGCAGTTGTTTGAAACTGCAGTATTTTTAGAGAATTGTTTCTAGTTCAGTGTTTTGGTAAATTATGCATCTAACGCATTTCTAATCCCTTTTGTTGCAGCCTTCAAAGCCCATTTGCACGCAACCTACAAGAACTGACCATGAACATTAACATCTGCCTCTTGTTTTATGTGTCTGTTCTTGTTCGTAATAATGTACATTTTCTGTAATGGTCTCTGTGTATATTATTTCCATGTATTAAACTTGCCTGAATAAAATGCTGATTGAATTGAGTTTGTGTCCCTAATTATTGGAGTAAAGGGAGGGAAAATAAGACCAGAATGTTAAATATTGTTTTGTTTTTTGATCTATAGAATAAAAAGGCATTGTAGTGCACAACTGATCAGGCAAGGATATAGTTTGAAAAATGTTCTGTTTAATTTAAAGGTTTACAGAGTATAATGGTCAACAATTGTAACTTGTGTTATTGGGGGGAAAAAAGTTATTGCAGAATGTGTCTCGATTTCGAAACTTATATTTAACCCAGTTTCAGAACCTAGCTAAGCAGGCATAGTAGACAGCCTACTTTGCAGTTGTGGTGATTGCAACAACCTGATGTACTATTTTGGGACACCACCTCCACTTCCATGATGTCCTCCAAGCTTTCATCCTCTTCTTGCCCACCATCTTGGGTCGAAATGCCTTCTACCCAGGCTTCTTGTGTGGGTTCAACGGACCACAGTGGAACATTAACTCTTTGAAACATTTCTTCAAGCAGAACATCAATCTCCACTATGTGGTTCTTCAGGTCTAGGCTTGCAGTCTCCTCTACTGATAACCATGGTGTTTGCACCATGGCTGCCCGAGCTGCTACTTCCGAAGTTCCACCCGCATAACCTGCGTTGATGAGGGCTTGTCGATCTTTGCGCTGGGTCAGAGGAAATATCTCTTGCAAGACTTTGACCTTCTTTAGGTCCCGCTGGAAGTTTTCCAAACTGGACAAAAAGATCACCCAATGTCGTTCAACCTGTTCTTTGTCCTCTTGTCCTTGCTCCATTTCTATCAGCAGACTTAGCAGCCTCCGGTGAAGCCCTGAAACACGAGTCGATCAAGTCAACTCTCAACAGTCTGAATGTGTCGTAATTGAATATGGCCAGCCGCTAGTTTTTGCAGTGCAGAATACTGAAAGGGCAATGTAAAATTTCTGCACCGCTAGCATCGCCAAACTGTTTCCTGCCTGTCTTGTTTTTATTTGTTCAGTCTTACCTGAGCATATTTTATGAGCGACTGTCCTGGTTTCTTCCAGCTCCTCTCTAAGGAAGCTCCCATCCATGTTGCTCCCCAGGGAGGTGGCCATTTGCTGGAAGCAGGCTGTCACTTTGCTCAGGGCGGCCTGTGCCCGCTCGCATTCATTCACCTGCCGCTTTCTGGTTTGGATTTCCACAACCGACTGCCGCCAGCGACTCATTACCACTCCTGTGGTGAACGACCTAAACTTAAGAATATTTAAGTTATTGTTGGTCTCAATATCAGAATTGGTCTGGCCTATTCTGAACTAAAATATTTGAAATTATATATGGCGTCGATTTGGTCTTAACTATATGATGTGAAACTTTTAAATCTTGTAGTTTTACTTTTTCTCGATCTAATCCCAATTAAATGAATAGACCATAACCATTTTTTTTGCTTACACACAGAAATTATTTGCCGCCTGGTTAATTATTTTTAAGTTCTCTTTTAAAAACGGTTGCACCACTCTGAAACATTTTATTTTGCCTTATTTCTGATTCAATTTAAAGGCTACACCCATTTGTTTGCCTAAAATTGTATAAAAGAAAAAAGTTACTTACTGGTAACTGAGCCTCAAAGAAATCCGTCTGATTTCATAGCCTTCGGAAAGTTGCGAGTTGTTTTGACAGTCCTGTTTCTCAGCGTGATTACATCCGTTGGAGACACTTCTGCCAACCTCCTTGTATTTGTAGGCTCACCTATGTTCTTTTTTCCAAAGCTTTTATAGAGGCCGGTCTTCAGGGACACTTGTTAAAATTAGGCCCAAACCTTGCAGTCCATGCTCCCAGAATACCTTGCGCTGGAGATCATTATGTCAAAGTTCTTTCTTTCTCAGAAACACATGCCGTGTAGGGAGGACAAGGTTTTCGATCAAGAGATCCATGCATAATGAATTTCTATGTGCGGTTGTCTGTGTACTGTATATGTGTGCTTGTGGGAGTGTGTGTGTGTGTAATAATGCGTGTGCTGTGCACAGTGGTTTATGTGAAGTTAATTGTCCACAGGGAGAGTGGTATGGTATTGTGGAGGAACAGACGGAGATCCTTTATTGACTCCCTTGTGGTTACTTGGGCTTGTTTGAAAGCTGTGTGCCGCTTGATGCAACATGTATGCTCCCATGGGTCAAATCTCCTGAGCAACACCAGTAATATTAACTCATTCAGTTAGCAAAACAGCAAAGCTGTAATAGGCACTGACATAATTCCGCAGTCATAATTATAATCAACTTCACACACTTAAAATTGTGATGTAGGAGAGTATTCCTTTAATATTAAGATTCATTAATTGCTTAATTCATTGCATTTTAGGATGCCAATTGCAAAGAAAATCCAATGTATCCTTTTGTTGTCCTTTTTTCAGAACTATACACCTTTTTCCTAACAAACCTACTGCATTTTAAATTATGGGAGGTACTTCCAAATAATTTCAAATCACAAGTTTGCGCTACAAATAATCCTTATCCATTATTTTGACTGAATGGGCTGTACATTTTCATTCACCTTCTATTTTCAGAAGTATAAATATAAAAAAACAATAATTGTGGTCTGCTTTCCAAATTTAATTTATGATATACCGGTTAATTATGAATAATTCCCTGGAATGCACTAAGAATCTATCATTTTTCTCCCCAAATCCTCATGTCTCTTTCCAGGTTTGTTTTCACACAGATGCTGTAAAATGTAATAGTTACGAAATATAGACACATATCACTATAATGATATTTAACACATGCGTAACATTGCTGCAGATAGGAGGAGGATTTTAGGAGTTATTCATGGTATGTTGAAAGTAGTTTGTTAATGCTTTTACACATTTAATTTTTACACTTTCAATGATCGATGGTTGAAGGGTGAGTAAAATAATGTCACCTCATTATACCCAGTTTTTTAAAATGCTTATTGCATTCATAGAGCGAACCTTTTGCTGATTGTTTAGTGTAAACGGAAGTTACTCCCATAATTTGCGCAAAGCATCATGGGACATAGGAAAAAGGTGGGTACTCATAACTGTTCAAGTATGGTAAGTGTACTTCACATTTTAATCTGGAGTTCTGTTAGATATGGAAGAATCTTTATTGAATATCTAACAGGTGGCTTTAAAGTATTTGTTCATTCTCATAGCAATGACAAACACAAATTCACTTATTTTACATATACATTACAGCTTGGCCATTGACATGCCTTACAAAGGCAACTAGGAACTTCAACGAGAACATTGAGACAATGATTGAAATTATACCACAGTTATTCAGAAGATAACAGAAAACGAACCAATTTATCTAGTACTGTTGAACACATCCTGTGGTTTCCATATTAAAGCATGGAAGGACTTCATTCTCTGTTGCGTGTTATTTATATTACAGTTGTTGAAGACCCATTGGATGAGCTAGACATGACCAACCACAGCGATCTGATGCAGTCCAAAATCAATACCTCCAGCTTGCATTGGTAATGAAGCTTCAACTGCTGTAGTCAAGTACAGTTGGCCCTGCATACAATGTGAGGTGAGTTACAAGGAGTTCACTGGTAGATGCTGGTATAATCTGGTGTGATGGAAAAAATGCGGTGTCTGGAATTAGTAGATATGCGTCAATCATTTGGCTTTTGTTCTTTTACAGGACCGACCGTAGGGTGTTATGTGGCGATGGCCTCCATGATCTCATGGCACAGACATTGGCAGAAGCCGTAGAACACGCAAAGGACCAGGGTGGAGGGCACCAGGCTGACCAAGATCACTCCCATCGTGAGCTGCTGGATCATCAGCAAGTAGATCCCCAGTGGCAGCGAGCTAAAGTAGACCAGGCAGAGGAAACCCATTAGAAAGCGAGGGACCGAACGAGACGTCCAAGCCCGACACTTCTGCACGGGAAGGTGGCAAGGCAAGGAGTCCAAGCTGGCCGGCCGATACAAGCGCACCATGTTCAACATGCTCATAGAGTCCGAGGACTGCGACTCTCCAGGGATTTCCATGATTGTGATGACGAGGCAGTCGGAGGAGCTGTGGGCCTGCTCGCCTCCGCTTAGGCTGTTGGGCGTCAAAAGGACCTCACTGCTGGGTGTGGTGCCACTCTTACGCGCCCGGTCCTGGTAAGTCAGAATAGCCAAAATGTTGCTGTCATCTTCAAGCAACCAGATCTCCTCGTCAGGGACGTGAGTCTCGTGGCGACAGAAGGGACAGCTGATGATGCTCGGAGACGAGTCCAGCTCCACCATCTTCTTTAGACATTTGGCACAGACCCGGTGCAAGCAGCTCAACACCTTGGGTTTGCGGGCTCGGGTGTCAAAGCGATTGTAGCAGATCTTGCACTCCAGTTCCTCCACCGTATAAATCACTGGTGCCTGGGAGCTCTCAGTCTCTGAGTCGGACTTCTGGCTCATCCTGAGAGATGGAGCTTGGCCACAGCCGAGAGGAGCGAAAGAGTCAGGAAGCAGGTGCAAATGTTCAAATTAAGCGAATTTTAGTATGCTATAGGAGCAGCACCTGAGCACTGTCCTTGGTAGCCCTTGTTTTTCTGCTTTGCGTTTGTCTTTCACCAAAAAGGATTGCTTAAATTCATCTTTTCTAGAGCTTGCAGCATATACTGCTGATTAGAAGTCCACAAAAGCAAAACTGAGTCTTGACGGAAAGCTTAACAATATACATATGTCCATGATAAGACACCCTGATGTATATATGACAAGCAGATTATACTAAAACACAATACAGAAATTCATTGCATGCTAAAAGAGGATCTCCATTCACTGTCCGCACTCAATTAAAGAACTTACTTGGGTTTTTCCAGCATGGTTTAGAGAAAGACAAAACCAAAAAAGCAATAAAGAAATAAAGTTAGTTGACATCAGAGAGGTCCAAAAATAAGTTCCTTTGAAATCAGAGTCTGGACACAGAGCGTGTTTTTGCCTTGTTATCCATAACTGATTCTAGAATGATGTGGAAGAATCGCAGATTCAGATAAAGTCAGCAGAATCATCCTGAATACTGCCAGATATTTTCTTCCAGTAATGGCTACACTTGATTATGACCTTCAACTCTGAATGCTCACATTGTCCCTCCAAGCACTTTGTTCATTCTGCAAAAAAATGAGAGAAGACACAGACGTGTTATGTAGATAAGAATGCAATTGTTTGCAAAATGCCAAATGTTAACACTTTGCGACAGATCTGAAGAACGCAAAAGGGAATAGCTTGATATCTGTACTTACCTTGTGTGAGTAAAACCCTTCTAGTGTCGTTGAGCCAGCACCGCTAAAAACCATTTGCATTCATCAAGCCCTTCCTATCAGGTGTATAGATGTCAACATAGGGGTGGGTGGGTGTGATAGAAAGCATGCACACCGCCGGCCAAAAACAGTTCTAGTTGTTCCTCCCAATATCAAGGTTAGTGGCTAGTTGTTGACTTTTTTTATGTCAAATTCAAAATTTGGTTACATCCTTGTATATGGCAAAAATGAATGTTTCATTGACTACTTTGCTAAAATAGTGGCTAAAGGAGATCCTCATTTGCGCTAGTCATAGGCGTGGCAAGCCATTCAAGCGAAGGCCATATAAGTTGATTACAAATGTAATTAGCTCCTGTATTTCTTGATTCCCTGTGGACGTGACTCACTCCGATCTGACAGAGAGGCAAACAAGTGATGCAAGTGGATGTTATCAAGAGAGCGGCAAACATGCAAATTTAATTCCCATTACGAGACATTTCATTGTTTTTCCTCCGTGTGTGTGTGTGTGTGTGTGCGCGTGTGCGTGTGCGTGCGTGCCCCCCCCCCCCCCCCCCCCCAACCTTGATGACTGTGATAAGAACTGTCACACACTCACACACACTCGTGTCCAACAGTCGAGGATGCAGTGATGCGCTGAAATTATGACTTTGACATTGTATGGCAGCTTGTCTCTAAGGGTTCCTCAGCTCGGTCATGTAAATGGCAGCAGAGTCTGTTGAATAAAAGCCAGTGGGTCAAAACTGACATCCAAGATGAAGCGAGAGGAGCGAAGGTTAAAAGAACACAACCGTCATACAGATTTTATTTGCCATTAAAACGGCAGAGAGTCAGTACATGCTAAGGACGCATCTACATTTAGTTGAGTAATCAATGCAGTTGCAGTGGAATATATTAACTGCATTATACTTGGCTGCAGACATGGTTGCAGTTTTCAGTGGCTTATAAATACAGATCTTTATTCAGATGAAGAATGTGCTATTTTTAAATGCAATTTGTGTGCTGCTGAAATTCAGGGGCTGGATCTGAATTTATCATCATGTTGGCTTTAAAAAACATTGGCAAGAAAACTG